ATCGTTATGTGTCCTCTCTTTTGCTATCTTCGGTTGCTGTTTTACGTTTTGAGTATTGACATTATTGTTATTATTATTATTGTTATTGTTATTATTGTGATGATAAACGAAACGATCTTAAGCAAACGTTCTGCAACAGCAACAACAGCACTTACTACAATTACAACACAATCAGCGAATTCTCGAGTTATTCCAGCAACAGCAACTCGGTAACAATGTTCCGATTCATCAGTCTACTGCAGGTGCGTTCTTTTGTTTTCATTATTGTTATTATTATTGTTAATTTCGTTATTGTTATTACTAGTAATATTATGATTATTATGATAATACAGTGTTCAAATATTTCAGATTTATCAGCGAATTATTTTGCACAATCGCATCCGAGTACAATTCCCATTAACTTTAACACGTCTAATAATGAGTCACCAACGCTTTCAACTGCATCATTTATGCAGGGTATGTAAATTATTGTTATTATTATTATTAGTTACTGTTATTCATTATTATTGTTACTGTTACAATTATTATTGTCAGTTACTAATATGAAAGTAAAGTGAATAAAATTCGATTTTTATAGGTGCGTCGCCAACAGATTCAAAACAGAATTTTATGCTGGCAAACGGGGGCAATAATTTGATACAGTTGACTGGTGCAAGTGGCGGAGCACAGACGAACTTGGAAGCATTACAACAGGCTTATTTGCAGCAGTATGCTGGTTGGTGATTTGATTTGATTTGATAAGTGTTTATGTGATGATTATACCTGGATTACCCGGATTGGTCAGGCTATCAGATGTTTGTAACGTTGCTGGCCACAGTGCGCGTGTTTCCGTGCACATTGGCTAAAATAATGTGCACGGAAACAATGTGTGATGATTATAGTGTTGTTTATTGCTGGGTCGGTGTATGATTGTTTCTTGTATTCAGCTTCATTCCCGCAATTGACCAACGGAGCGATGAACGGACAAGTGCCATCGCAGTTACTGTTGAACACGAATGCGGTCACGCCGTCGATCACAACCCCATCGTCATCGATCTCGCTGAATAATAATTCGATAAAACCACTGACGGCTAGCAATCAGTCGAAAGGACCCGACGGATGCAATCTGTTCATCTATCATCTACCACAAGACTTCACTGACTCTGATCTGATAACGACATTCTCACCGTTCGGAAATATTCTCTCAGCGAAGGTCTTTATTGACAAGCAAACCAATCTGAGCAAATGTTTTGGTTAGTGTTTTGATTTGTGTGATTTGTATCATTCGTTTATGTGCATCAATGCAAGGCATCGTTGTTTGGTTTATATCCTAGTGGGTACGGGATTTTCGTGATGAAATGTGGTAATGTTTAATGAATGATCAGTTATTGATGACGGTAGTTGGCTTGGTAATCAGTGAACTTGGTTAAGGTTTCGTGAGTTATGACAATGCGATATCGGCCAAGAACGCGATATCGGCGCTGAATGGTTTTCAAATCGGATCGAAACGCTTGAAGGTGCAGCTGAAACGTGGCAAAGATGCGAAGCCATACTCGTACCCAAGCGCAGCTTCAACAACAAATGATATGCAAACCAATCGCACAACTTCTTTAACCAATTAACCATAAGTCGAAATCATTCTTACATAGATAATTAGTACATATTTTGTTGTATTTCGTTCATTTTATGCNTTTTATCATATTTCTTTTTCATTGTCTGTGTTTCATTTACACATCTGCTATCTGTATGCATTCATTAATTCTGCTATGAATTTTCGCATTTAATATTTGTCTTCGTGTTAAATGTTCTGAATTGAATGATTATTATTCCATTTGTAGTTGATCGATACGTTGTGTTGTTGTTTCAGTAACTTATGAATAGGTAATTGAGTCTGAGTAATAGTGTGAGTGCGAATCTTTATGATGATGCCTTTTATATTTATACATACAACCTCTTGAGGCGTTCGGCACTTTGTTTGCTTTTATTTTTTGAAAGTTTTGTTTAATGTATCATTACACCGGGTGCTATATTTGTCCAGCATTTTTAGTTGTATCTTAATTAGTATAATATTAATGATGTGTTAATTGTTTTGAATATGTTTGTTGTATACATATATTTATGAAAGTGTATTGTTTGTATTCGGTCAAATTTTAACGTTCAATTCAGACTGTTTCTTTGCATCACACGGTCGTTTGGTCGTAATGCAACGGTCATATAACAGTGAATTGTAATTGAATTGTTACTTCATGCAGTTATTCAGTTGTCTTATTTTCGCACTTCTATGCAAATTATTAATGCATTCGTTTGTTCGTTCGTTTATCATCCCAATTTTATCTTTAATTTCTCAATATCAATGACATCAGTACATCATTCCGTTTCGAGCAAAATTTTATGTGTTATCTAGCGAGC